ATATGGTTCAACTGATAAGAAATACATTAAAATGAGATAAATCAATAATTTTCTTATTAACTGACCCTATTCAAAGATGCCCTTGTGGCATAGGGAAACACAGGATGTTATAGGAGAGAAAACTGGCACTCTTTTTTGCCTTTTTTTTCCTTTTTTTTTTCTGTTCACTGGTCCAAAACCTTCCAGTCTTCCCAGACTTGTATTTGGCAACTGTACAGTTACTGTGTTATTTAATATTACCACTAGTTTTCACAAATTAGTCCTTGCAATATATCAGGAAGTAACTTAATAATCAGATCATGTCCTTGCTCTACTCTTCCCAAATAATCTGCCTTTGCGGTAGAGAAGCTTTTGAGTAGTTATTCTTTGCTGTTATGTCATGCAGTCCTCTTGTTCTCCTCTTATTTTCTCTCTACCAAAAAGCAGTTAATTAGCTGAGGAAAAGAGATGTTTTATAGTGAATCAATACTGAACACTGAAACAAACTTCATACCTCCAGCAATGTATCTACAAGCTTGGGAGAGGTGAACAAACAAATCGTAATGTTGAGAGAGGAAAGAAAAGGACAGGGAATAGTTTCTCACTTGTTATTTGTGAAAAGGGGGACCTTCCTGCAGTATGACTTGCCTCTCTAGTGCCCTGTGGTGAAGCTAGATTTTGTGGTTGTCTTATTGGTGCACTTCCTTTGCTATGTGTTTGCAGGGTATATGGGGTTTTGTTTTCACCTTTCATCTAGATTGTGGTTACTGCTGCTGTTTAGAGGAATAAATGCAGCAAATAAGCCCCTAATGGCAAGGAATAGATGACCTCACCTGAAGGTACTGCTCACGGCCCAGGTAGGTGAAGTATCTCTTGCTCCCCGCCTTCTGTTATTTAAGTGCATTGGAGCATTCTTCCAGGCGCAGTCCTCTGCTGTGGGTTTTTGTTGTTGTTTTTGTAGGTGTGTCTCTAAAGGGGTGTCTAAAAAGTGGTTGATATTTCCTATCGACACTGAAAGCAGAGTGAGAGAGAACAGTCTCAGTCTTCCTCTTCAGCATTATGGTTTTCTTTCTCTTTAAGATTTTTTTTTTTAAAACAGATGCTAGCCTATGTTTCAAGGGGATGTTCTCTGCAGCACAAATATGAACAGTTCATATTTCCTTATGCTGCCCCACAAATAACCCCTATCCTTGAATGAAATCAGACATTGATTTACGCGGGACACACTGTTTTGGTTATAAGCCCCTGAAAACACAGCGCTTTCTGTCACGTGGCTTGGGAAGACCCACACAGCCGCGCTGTGCATCCCTCAAGAAGATGATCTCCAGGATTCTTATAAGCATCTGATTGCTGATGCTACGTTTCTGCTCCATTTCATATATAAAAACTAAATGATTCTCTTGACAAAGAAGATGGGTGTAAATTTGCCAAACAGCTATAATAAAAAGAAGAGTATAAACCTTTTAGATGGAGCTCATGGGTTCTGCTCCCCACACTGCTCAAGTATTAATACAAGCAAATAGTGTTTCTTCCAGTGTAGCTGTGACACGAATGTAATACTTACTGTCTCATAGGAACAATTTATGAGGCTGAATTTTTGGTACTTTCTTCTTTTGTTTGTCTTCTGTTGATCAAGGTAACATCTTTGATTTTTACTGCAGCATCATAATGTTTTTGTTAAGATATTTAATGCATGGAATGCAATGAGTGAAAATAATTCCCACTACACGTAGCTCTCACCAGCATCTTCAGATACGTGGATCCCTCTCGGGAATGGCCTTACCTAGGATTTTTACAGAGGTGAAGCAAAGCTGTCTTTGGCACTGAGAAAGGTGTCATGAAAATCCTCTTAGTAAAATTGCAGCCATGTTAGGGTTAGAATTTACCTTTGCACTGCTGTACAGAGTCTGCTTGGAGCATACAAGGAAAATACCTGGTTCCCTGAATAGGGTACAAGTTGAACAGAGCTAAAAAAAAAGAAAAAAAAATTGTTAAAAATTAGCAAGGTCTTGTGGGGCTTAAAGTATGTTACTGGCTCACCTAGTTTTGGCTGCAGGTCAGAACGAAAATCAGTTATTTGTAGCTTCACAGTAATAAATACTTCGGCTTTTCACAGCTGCTTCTGGTAACAAAAGGCAGTTGCAGATAAGATTGGATCTTTACTTCAATGGCTCTTTCAAAGGAAAAATAGTCCTCAGCCCAGGGCCCTGTTGGAACTCCTCACTGACTACCATCTCGCACAGATATCTTTCCTTACACGTTTCCCCTCTCAGCTGTTGCATGCACGTGGCTTGACATGGATGTACCCAGCAAGCTGGTACAGATGGATATGTTCTTGGCTGTTGCGCAGAATTAATTATTGTTTTTCTATTCTATATATGCCCTTACATTGTGCACACCCCGGTAGCTGAGTGCATTGAACAATGTATCTAACATCTGTCATGTTTATTTTCTCCTTGATCCTTTCCCCTGGAGGGGGAAGGTGAGCAGCGTGCTGCCTTGCTTTGGGAGCAGGGCAGACAGACTTTGAGAGGACCTCCCGGGTCATCAAGTCTCGTCTCTGGCTGTTGCAGACGTCTATGTTATATAATACTCTTGTGAGCGGAGCAAGCGCCAGTCTAACATCAGATCTCTTTCTTTGTACTGCTGTTGGAAAGCTGTTCCACTACTTTCATGTAAGGGTTAGAATGCTTTCCTTTTCAGCTTCAGATTGTTTCTGCCTTGTTTTTTGCTTATTTCATCTTGTGTCAATGTTGTTAGCGATCTTAATTAGCTTTTTTCCTTCTAGGCTCTTTATCACACGGAATTTATAGGCAACAATCTTACTTCCTCTTAACCTGTATTTTGGTCGGCTGTTGTACTGTCAGTACAGGTGTGACTACATTGGAGGTAATTGTTATTCCATCAAAATTAAAGCTGGGAAAAATAATTCCAAGTGGATTTAATTTGTCATTTGTTGAAATCATTAACTTGAATTACACAGCAGAGTTAGTGCTATACTGATGTATGAGAAAATCCCATCCTACCTTACTATTTAGGTAGGAAACCTACTACGTTATTTTCTAATATGCATTGCCTAAACATCTAAGAAGATTGGGTTTAGTCCCCTGGCTCACCTTAGATCCTACTGGTTTCAAATGAGTCTGTGTTGCATAAAGTTCCACATGAAATTGGGAAATATATCCTAATTTCCTTCCAAAGCATAAGGTGCTTGCCAATGGCAAGTCAGCAATGAGGCTGCCCTGCTTCAGTCTGGGACCTGAGGCAAGTCATAAAAGCAGTATGGCTCAAACTGCCCAGCCTCAGGTCCTGGGGTAAATCCCTTGGTGACTGCAGGTTATGGCCTATAAATATATGGAAATGTCCCCACCTGCGTCCTTCTCAGCATATGACAAGCCCTATACGAGGCCACATCATTTACCGAAGTGCAGGGTCATGGGATGGGGCTGCAGCGCTGAGCCCACAGTGGGGGCTGCTTGGTGGTGTGGTCCCACTAGGCACAGCTCTTCTTCTCCCTTCCCCACAGTCATGCAGGGCCATGGCATCACTTGCGCTCTGGACTGTGTCTGGCTCACAGACAAAAAAGCAGCTGACCTGCTTGCTGTATCTGGCGTCAAGTCACAGATTGGAAAAGAGGCCATTCCGCTGTGCTGCAAATTTGTGAGAAACTAGGGCAGTTCAGTGCAAAAGGCTGTGGGACTTGAGTTTTGTGTTTGACACTAGACCTGGCAGGTTTGGCTGCATTCTAGTATGACTATCACTGTCATAGTGTGTCTGCATAGTGTATGATCTGCTGCAAACAATCCACGTTTCTGGAAAAATGCACTTATTTTTGTTGGATTTATAAAGAATGCCTGAACTGCCTCTTGCTGAATTTTCTCTCCGGTAGCCTTTTGAGTTGCTGTGATATTTTTTGTGGAGGAAGTTAGGCTGATTCAGAAGTCTTCCTCATTGCAATTTACTATTTCAAACTATCGCTGCAAAGGGGGAAGGTGGACGTCTTCAGTCACCCCTGGCTTGAAAAGGTCTGGGTCTAGAAGTGATCAGCATATCTGATGTTACTTCCTCAATAAATTAAGCAAACATTACAAATGTGGATAGCATAAAATTCATGCTTCTCTTTTTGAACCATTTCTTGTTACTGTTAATAGACATTTTTTTGTAATCCATCTGCTCCTCTTGCCTGATTGATGTTCATCATAAATCCTGTGCTCATGGCAGGCATAAAATACTCAAAGAAAACTTGAGATTTCACCTGTCTCCATAGCTGAAAGCAGTCTGAGTTTTGTAAAGCTGTTGATTTGGCTTCCAAAATGTATAAATAGAAAAATGAAGGGAACCTGAGAATCAGCTTTGATACTGTCTGGACCACAAAGTTCAAATATTTCTATAGTAGGAAGAGTTATTTCTGAAGTTCTTACAGATAGAAAGTCTCCTATTCCAAGAGAAACATTGAGCCTAAATTTTAACTGTCAGTTAAGATTAGTGTGTGGCTTTCAAAAGTGGTAAATGGTCAGTCAGATTTGTGTAAGTGGCTTTCAAAATGCTACCAGATCAGTATGTTTTAAGTTTACAGCCATCTTTCTTTCACTTTTATGAGCGTGGACTGCATGTGGTACAGAACGGCTTGGAATTAAATCCTTTCTTCTCCTTACTGTGACTGTTTTCCTGGACTAACACAACTGTGATTTTTGCCATAGAACTGTTAATAAAAATTTATCCTTATTGTCTGAGCTGTCTTTGTCCCCTTTTCTACCTATCCATCCCTTGTTTGGCTTTAATATCCACTGGTAAATGAATGTAAGAAAAGAAACTTGCAGTCTCCAGGTCAGTTAAGACCTACTGATACGTGGATATCTTGTTGCTCCACTGAACTCTGAGTATGTTCACTTTGGTGGACCTCTTTTGCTCTTCCTTCTGCTAGTTGGGTTTTTTTTGAGGAAAACTATCCCTTTCCCATCACAGCCCCCTTAACTGGTTAAATGCATGATACAATATCAACTTTTTTTTTCCCCCAACAGGAAATTATGGGGAAAGTGGAATGGAAGCCTTCAAAGAGCTGGCTGCCCAAGAGGGTCTCTGCATTGCTCACTCTGACAAGATCTACAGCAATGCTGGGGAAAAGAGCTTTGATCGCCTGCTCCGCAAGCTGCGAGAAAGGTTACCCAAGGCTAGAGTGGTGGTTTGTTTCTGCGAGGGAATGACAGTGAGGGGGATCCTCATCGCCATGAGGCGCCTGGGAGTGCTTGGGGAGTTCCTGCTAATTGGAAGGTAAGGCTCTGAGTGTGCTTTCTCTGCCTGTCCTCTCCCCCTTGGCCTGCAGGCAGTCCTTTCATTTTAGAACTGTGCAACTCAGGCTACCAGTAATTTCCATATTTACTTGTCTAATGAATGAAAAGAAGTGGCAAGATGGTAAAGCAGATCTCAGGAAGGGGATATGAAGATGTATGCCAACTTTATCGGTGGTGTTAACTTTTGCTGAAGTAAATGTTAATTACTAACTTTTATATGGATATATGACATTACTGTTTTTGCACTTTTGTGCACTCTAGAGGAATGTTTCGTACACAGATTTTACAACCAAAGTAGGGAGCGAAGAATTCTGGTTTCAGAATGTGATCTGGCAGTGTGACATGTGACAAAATTTCACGTATTTCACTAAGAATGTCTCCTGATAATTTGAAACCCCAAATTATTGGATGGTCTTGATTACTTGAACTTTTTTCACAGTCTTACGATTACAACCTGGCATTCTCAGTTGTACACGTTGTTCTGATCTTTGCTGTTGAAAGCTAGGGCACTGATATTACACATACTTGTTTGGTTTTTAAAACATCAAACTTACTGATGGCCAAGTCAGTATGTATGTGTGTTTTTATATTACCAGAGTAACAGTGCAGACGTGTATTGGACAGGCAAAGACCGGCTTCGTCAAAATGGGAACGGTTGCTTTTTTCTTCTAGAGTTTACCAGTTCTTTGTAGATATTCACTAAAATATGGTCAACTATAGTTCTATCACATATGGTCTATCCACATTTCCATTTTTGTGATAGTTCTTATTTTGAGGGTTCTTTGACTTTCACCTTGATTTTTGCAATGTCTTTATGTCTGGTTTTCCATTTTGATGAATCTTGTTCAAATGATGAGGGCTGACTCTTTCTGTCTTTTCTATTAGATTGGTAATGTCTTTTTTAATCCTTCTATTTACTCTTTGTTTCTTATCTATTTTTTAAACACCGTTCCCTCAAGGCCTTTGACAGTTGTCTCCTTACCTACTTAGCTTCTGTTGCCTTTTTATTCTGTTGTCTTTTGGATCTATCAGACTTCTTTTTGTCCCTTTCTCTCCCTAAAGTCTTTCTGTCTGTCATTGTTGTGACGGGGATGCTCTCCTTTAGCCCTGTGCTATAATATTGGTCTTTCCCTGACTGCATCGCTCCTCAAAACCCACAATTATGATTTTTATAAGTCAGATAGCTAATCTGGCCCAAATAATCATCTGAAAACAATCAATGGCTCTCCTTTCATCATTTATTTTTGTTGCGGTCTTTGATTACAATCTATTTGGAGCAGCGACTGTATCTCTAGAAGGGTGTGTAGATAAGATATAGCACGTTTGGAAAGCCATCAGCATTAAATGAGACAAATAGTAAGGCGGTATTGAAAATGGTATTATTTTTTTAGATTTGTGCATGTGCTTTTTGTCTGCATCATTCAATATGCATCATTTGAAATGAATAATGGAATGCCTTAGGACTGATATGTTTTAAGTATATTTTTTCAGTGAACTGAAGAGACTAACTATGATAAAATTAGTCTGGGTGACGGCATCCCTGGTCATTTTGTAAATGCCCTGCAGCTTTAGGCAATGCTGTGCTTTCTTCATGTATTGTTGTCCCTCTGTAGTGGTGTCTTACTGTTCATCTGATTTTGGTGCTCTTTCTTGACGCTGTCCATACAGAGAGCCAAAAGAAATGAGTCTCCTACATTAAGCACCAACAGTAGGTACTTTGGTGGTACAAACCTTAGTTTTCCTATTAGGCCAATTACTTGATCCCCTACTCCGTGGATATGTGGAACATTTTAACTTGAAATTTTGACTAAAACACTTTACCAAGCATTATGCTACTCTGTTTAGTTCAATTGTTTGTCTTGGAATCTGCCCAACAGCGTTACTCTGAACTTTTTGTCACAACTTCTTACCTGTTAAATGCTAATAATGGAATTTCTTTGGAAATCACAATGCCTTTTTAGGTAGGTTTTGACATACTCTTCTTTTATGCTAGTAACTGAGCCCTTTTCAAGTCTGGGTGGACTGTTCTGATTGTAAAACAGGCTGGCTATTGCTTTGCGTAGTCTGGATTGTGCCCAACAGCTGGCTGAAATAAAAAGTATTATAGGGCTTGCACATGTTTTATATGTGCTTGCAGAAGTAAAAGAAAAGACATTTTCTTTGAATTGTCCTAATTAAGTGATTTTAAAAAATGGCAAATCTGGCAAAATTATTCACAAGTAAGTTGCAGCAAAACTGCAGTGCTATGAATTTGGTCATCTATATACAAACAGGAACCAAGGCACGCATTAACATTGCTCTGACATGCTGTTTAGTCTTTTTTATTCAAGTACCCAGCTAAGCAAAAAACCAAAAGCCTTTTAAGAACATTCTTTTAATTGAGGGAAGTGGGAGTGAATGTGAAATCAAGATTTTTTTGCAATAATGAGCTAAACAAAGCCTTTAATTTACCCACAGGTTTATTATCAGCCACACTGTATCAACCCTGTTCTCTGCTCTGACTCACTGTAAAGAGGAAGCCTTTACAAAGGGACACCTGGCTAAATAGCTCTCTTTCTGCTCTATCTTCAGTATTGCCATTGAGCAAAGCAGACAGGAACAGCTTAGCTTAACTAAATTCAAGGTATCAGAAAGAGAGCTGGGAACTAAATTTGACTTCAGTTTAATCTGGGAATGATACATTGGAAAATATAGGGGGTTACATTGAGCCAGGACTGGTTTGTCAGATACCGGGGACTTTTCCAGGATGCGCTGACTCTTCTCAGGCATGGAGTTAAGACCCCATTTGTGCCGTATCTAAGCAAGTGTTCCCAAATTCAGATTGGAAATCTAACTAGAAGTTCAGTCTCCTTTGCTACTGGAATGGGAGTCTGTTGTATTAGTGAGAAGAAAGGGAGTTCCTACTTGTGAATCTGGAGGGAAGCTGGGATTAAGACGGGACAGGGAGAAGAGGTTACAATCCTGCCTGAGGGAGAATGGAGGATGTTCTGAAATCGATATGGTGTCCAAATGTAGTGGAGAGTTCAGTGAGAAAATTTATTAAGCTATGAAATTAAGGATGATAAAGCTTTAAAAAGTGGCTGATAATCAAAGGGAAAGGAGAAGGCAAAAATTGATCATGGCTTTGTATAAAAACAATGATTGGAATAGTGTTGGAGTAACCAAAGGCAAAAATTACGCTAAGAACATAAGCTGTACTCTTAAGGGAATTCAGGTGATAGCTCTTTCAGCAGAAATTAGTTTTGATGTGAAGAGACTATGTAGAAAGATACTCAACATCATGTGTCTAATGATGTTTATGCAGGCCATTGGGTTTTATATTACTTAATAAGCATCAATTAGGTTTTGTGAGAATCTTGCAAGACAGATGAATCTCCTGTATATCCCCTGGGATGATGCATCAAGACAAGGCACGTAACTGACTTTCCAGCATTGTGCGGGTAATGCAAAGCAAATGAAAGATGCAAACGAAATCTCCAATTTATTTTAAGAGTTACTCTGAGATCATTAGAGAAGAGACATGTTAGATAAATAGTTGGAAATGAAAATGCTCTTTTGCAATTTGATGATCTCTCAAACTCCTACACAAAATGGTTTGTGTAAACGTATGAGGAACTTTAGAAGGAGGGGATATATTAGTGCACATGCTGCTTTTCAGTATAACACTTGGTAATGGACTATGTACCGCTTTATTTCCATAGGCTTTCCAATGTTTTATGGTCTTCATTACTATCGCTCTATGGGCTGTTGTAGAACTACGAATTTTAAGTGTTGGTAGGGTGACCTCTCCTGAAAGTTTGGACACTTAGCAGTAAGGATATGGTTGGATTCTCTGCTGTGAACCCAGTGCATGACAGAGGGCAAGTCAGTTCTTTTTCTATATCTAATAAAACCCTTTTAGCATAGGGTGACAGAGCTTTCAGCATGCATATTGTGATGAAATTTTTCCTGACTGCCCTCCCTTCACAAGCTAATATTAATAATGGCATTTAACGTCACACTTTCTAAAATATTGACAAGGCACTGTCAATGTAAGCTGTTTGGTCCTATTATCTGACATTGTTGGACATGTGGAACCTGATTTCATCCAGGTGTAAGAGTAAACAACTTGGTGAGTTGACAGAGAAACATGCCCTGATATGGTCAATCCCTGGGTGGCAGGGTGTGTGGGAGGATTTGGGCAGGTGCCTAGGGCAGTTATCACCTTCCAAAGCCTGGGATTTTATGCCTGAACAGGCATGTGATCCCATTGAATTGGTGCACCACTTGACAGAAGAGTGCCTTGCCTACCTGAATGAGACTCATCAGTTCCTAGCACTGCAACTGTGACTACTGAGCTTTTGTTCAGCTCCATCAGAGCAGAGGAAGGAGGGCCTCTACATCTGAGGACACCATAGTTAAGACAGGGACCCAAACCCTATCTACACTAATCACTCCTGTAGTCAAAAAGAAAAACTGGAAGCAGAAATTGACAGGTCCATAGCATCAATCAGTAAGGGAGGAGGAAGAGTCTGATCAGGAAGCTGGTCCTTCGGCAAGGAAACAGGAGAAGGAGGTGACAGAGGTCACTCTATAGGCAGAAATCACCTGGTCCCTGAGCGAACTTTGAGAAATGTGGGAAGTTTGTATCTTCCAGCCAGGCAAATAGATTGCTGTCTGGTTGCTCAGATACTGGGATACTGGGGCTGACAGTCAGGAATTAGAAAGTAAGGAAGCCCAGAAGCTGGGATACCTTGCTAGGGACCAGGGAAGAGACAAAGAAATTGGAAGAGAAGCAACAATCCACAACCTCTGGAAGTGGATCCTGTCAAGCGTGAAGGCAAGGTATCTCCTCAGGAATGATCTTGTAAATTTCTGAGGGAAGTAGACTACCATGGAGAAAGGTGTTGTTTTAATTTGTGTCTTTGTTTCTCACTATCCAAATCTATTTTAATTGGCAATAAATTGAATTAATTTGCCCCAAGTTGAGTCTCTTTTGCC